AGTAGGAGTTCCGTGACATACACACGTACAGTAGAATTATATATATAAAGAAAGATAGAAACGTAGAGTATGATATCTAATAGTCAATTTGCTAATAAAAAAATATGTATAAAAATGTCATACCTACGACAAGCTGCAGGGCCTATAAACGCATGCCATGTTGATTTAAATTAAATTATTCAGTAACCTTTTTTCAATTGCTTCTTATCGCGCTTCGGATCGTTATAATGGGTATTTTTTTATAACAGTCGTTCTCCGTCGTAAACACGAAATGAGTTTAAAAATTATAATAGTCAATACATCAATTGTTTTAAAAGATCACGTTCATTTTATTCATTCACCGCTGACCAAATCGTATAGTGGAGTTGGGTTGTTAGTAAATATTTATGGCATTAATATAATATTTGTTAATTTAAACATTTGTATTTAATTATTATCTACACATGGCCGTAGCGAAATTAGAAGTTGGTGGAAGTGCTAAATAATAAATTGGTGTATTTTATTATAATTAAACATTCATTAAAAATAAATTAAATGATAATCATACATTATCCAGTTCACAATTTTAAATTTTCCCATAAATGGTTATTTTTTGCGTTTCATAGGTTTTAGTAAAAAAATATTACGGCCTTTTTTTTCCTGTGGACAACTTTTCTATCAACAATTTTTCTCCAACTTACAATTATAACACTTTTTCTGAAAGGAAATCTAACTGAAGTGATAATTTAAGGAAGTCATTTTTTGATTTTCCCAATAAATGAGAAATACCTATATGATAAAAACTAGAGAAAAAGTTATAATATTAAAGAAAATATATGCTGCATATTTAATTATTTTACCATAATATGACATATTATATATTGTTGAAAAAGCAACCCTATTAACCGAACTCTGCTCAGAATAGTTTTTAATTAGCAATGGTTAATCGTTGTGTACAGATATACATTAAATTTCCCCTTCTTACTTCCTAACTTCTCACCTACAACAGTGGCCCACTCACATTTGAAGTATATATCAGTCTTTTTTTTTTTACTTTTTTATTATTATGTCTAAATAACCCAATTACCCAATAATATTAAAATACCTAAACACGACAAAAGATCGATTTTATTCCATTTAATATATAGCCACTAATGGACACATTTCTTGATATCTAAAACAATTTTCATAATAACCGAGAAAACTAAGAAAAAAAATAACAAAAAGAGCTAATACTGAGGATAGGAGCGGCCACTGATGTAAGTAAAAAATTGGAAAGGTAGGATACATAAGATTATTTCATTAATATTTAAGCAACAATAAACCATTGCTGACGAAAGACGATTCCAAGTGCAGTTCGGTAGTACATCATTTGAAGTGCCGTAATTTTTTTGAAACTAACTTTCCTACGTTTTTTCCTGATTATTAAGAAAACTAATTCGAAAATTGCAACTATATTTGTGCTAGAAACGTGGAAAGTACTTATTTAAAATAACGAAATCGTGAAAAAATTGTATTTTTTTTCCCGGTTAATCGTTTTATTATAAATACCGTTTCGAAAATCAAAAAATGTAATTACCAAGTAAATAAAATTTACTTTCAGATAAGGTGCTACACTTAAACATTACAACAAGTTTTCTAGGATAAAAGTAGTCTACAATATCAAATAAAAAATGAAATACCATTGTAAAAAAATTGAAAAGACGTCCGATGATTTTGAAAATTTTACCACGTCAAGGTAAGTCTAATATAAGCATTTTAACTAAATTTCAAGTCTCTACGTGTATTTATAACCGAACTACAACAATAAACTCCCAGATTTTAAAATTCTTTAAAAGCTCAAAAGTTTTAGCATTGATACCGTAAAAAAGTAAATCAAAAGTACAACAAAAAGGTGTCTTGTCATTTTTCAAGTAAATCATTCTTTCAGGTAGAAAACATTGTCCGTTTTTTTTATAAAATAATGAAATCGTGAAATTGTACGATTTCCTGTTTTTCCCATTTAAAAAATTACGTCGAAAATCAAAAAATGACCTTGCAGTTCCATTTAGACAACTTGAGATTTCTTGAGAAAGTTGCTACACGTAAAATCGGAGCAAGTCCACTAAGAAAAAACGTGACCAGATTAGAAAAAAAAAAATAAACATCTTAGTAAAACCAAGTAAAACTCGCTACGCTCAGAATCTAAAATACAATTTTTCCAAATTACGGCGCAACATCGTATATATTTATATTTTTCTACCAGAAATGTTTGTCTAAATTCCAAGAATCGCATATTTTGTGAAAGAAAATTTTGTCTGTCTAGTTTGTGAATTAGTAAGAAAGTCGTTGTTTTATTTTCCATATAGTTTTCCTGATAATTATGAAAAACCGGGAAAAACATGGGAAATACAACAAAGTATACCTATGGCATTAATTTTTTTGTTACTATTCAGTTAAAAATTATTGTAGAGACCTATAGGTTTCACAAAATACTTAATATATTGGACTTTTGTAGACGTGGTCGAATATTTAAAACATTTTAACTATCTTTAGACTATTTATAGATAAGTGTTTAATATTTTTGTGTTTTTACATGTACTTTTATTTGATAGGTACAAGGGCGCAACTAGAGGGGGGCTTGGGAGTACTTAGCACTCCCAAATTTTCTGTACTGATTTTTTACATTATCGGTAACGGTAACACTTCTGATTTTTTAAATAATAATTAATTGACTGGTAAGATTGGTAAATTATCAAAATATTGTTTTTCTTATTTATTTTAACCTATAATGGTCAATGGAAACATCAAATGCGTTTATTAAATTGGGTTTATTACCTATCAAAATGTACCGTGTACACAATACGTAGTATCAATAGCCAATAGGTTTTATTTTTTCCTAGATTCCCGACCAACGCTCAACAACCGCCGTTAATTTTATAATGGCAGCAGTATTATAGATTAAATATACTATAGATAGCCCACGGGTATAGGTGTTATGGAAACACGTAAATTAATATCACGTCTCAATAAATAGTGCACTCGCTTTTAATATCGAAAAATAATTTACAATAATAATCTAATGGCCAGGGAAGATGTACGGGGGGGGGGGAATATCATCGGTGTTCGGGCAATTTATGCTCAGCTACGTGTGAAAGATCTTTTTCAGCCATGCGAAGAGTGAAGAATTGGCTTCGAACAAGCATGGGACAAAATCGATTTAAACGTCTATCTTCAATATGTATTGAAAGAGACATTACAAATAACATTAATAATGAAAAAATTCTAAATAAGTTTGCATTAACTAATAATAGAAAAATTAATTTATTATAATATGAGCATTATTATTTAATAAATTTATATTGTGATATGCTGAATTGGTTTTTTATGTTAGATTATTTAATGATTGTTTAAAAACATTAAATTTGTATATACATAAAATAATTTTGCCTAAAACAAGAGGGGGGGGGGGTTCTCGTGTTGTGCTTTAGATTTTAGCACTCCCATAAATTTTACCCTAGTTGCGCCCATGGGTAGGTATATTTGTTTTTAAAATTATATGACTAAAGAGAAATGCTTGAAAATTTAACACAAGGCACATTATGAGTTTTACTTATTGGTAAAAGAAAAATAGTGTAGAGTATAAATGTAATGATATTTTTCATAATCGTATTAAGATCAAATTGTAATGAAAATCGTAAATATTACGGCTTTTCTAAACATGAATATAACAGTACTTTACTCCGAATCGTTTTTCGTTGACAATGGCTTATCGTTCATTACAGATGTAAATTAAATAACTTTATGTTTAAATATTTTATTATTTATTCTATATAAGTATTAGGTATATAGGATAGGTTAGAATGGTTAGATGCAAATTGCAATTAAAACTAAGGATTTAATATGTCTTATAAAAATCATGTTAAAATGGTATATATGTATAATATATAGGTACATATATTATTATAGATCACTATACCTATTGCATATACGAATATATATAGCGAAATTTTGAAAAATGCATTGTTGATAAAAATTCTTAGAATATGCTCGGCTATCGGTCTGTATGAAATTGAATTTTCGGGTGGTTTATTAAGTTGAGGATAAGTATTACAACGGAATGCTTCCAAGCATTAGGGAAGTATGATAGTCTGAATAATGCATTAAATAAGTGGGATAAGTAAATTATGATTTTATGTGGTAGGTTTTTTTATAATTAAATTAATGATTAGGTTGATACCTTAACGATTAAGTTGAAGACTACCCACCCTAGTGCCAAAATTATGTAAAATAATTGCATATGCAATATACATTTTCTTTAATAATATTTGTTTAATATTGTAGCTATTTTTCCGTTTTTTTCCACTTAATATGAACACATCTAGGAAAACTAAAAAATGACCACAAGTACCACTTCAGTTAGATTTCCTTTCAGAAAATGTACTTTTATTCAAAATCAGAGCAGAATTGTTGGTAGAAAAGTTGTTTACAGATAAAAAAAAAAAATTTTTAAAATGTAATATTTTCGTAAAACCAATACATCACAATGATAAGAATCTAAAATATAGACACGATTATACTATAGAAAAAAAAAGTTCAACCAACTCAGGAAGGAATATTTGCATCTGTCATTATTATGTAGATACCTAGTCGAATGTTAAAGTAATTAAATGTCCTAATTATATTCTATAAATAGACAATAAATAATGTCTGAGAGAGTATAAGCCCCTCAGAGATGACCTTGAAGATAAATAAATGTATTAGTTGTACAATGAGATTTTTTTTTCTTTCTATGAACAACTTTTCTACCAGCAATTTTACTCAGATTTACAATGATAGCACTTTTTCTGAAAGGAAATTGGATTGGGGAGGTACTTTAGGAAGGTCATTTTTTGATTTTTCCAGCTGTTTTCATAATAAATGGGAAGAATTGGGGAAAAATGGGAAAATAGGTCAAATATAAATAAATATTATTAAAGAAAATATTAAATGCATATTATGTAGTTATTTCACCATAATATCACATACATGATATGTATATAATCGATTTTACGTTAGCAATAGTTAATCGTTACGAACAAATATAGGTACTTTAAATTGTTTTCTCTACTACCTTCCAACTTCTCACCTACAACAATAGCCCACCCATGTACGAAGTATGTTCGTCTTTTGTTATCTCTTGTCTTACAAACGTACCATATAAAAATTTGTATCTAGCAGAAGCAATTTAGTGCTTTTAGTTTGAATATTAGAGTGAATTGACCTATTTTCATACAAAAAGAAAAGAGCGTATTGACGTACCACAGTCCTATCTATCAGATTTTTTTCAATATTTTAATTTTTAATAGAGATATTATAAGGATTTTTAAGTTGTGATATTTCACACTCATTTTTCGCTTTTAAATTAAAATACAGAAAAAACTACTATGTAAACAAAGATAATGGCGTTTCCTTTAAGATTAATAATAGATCAATAATTAACTCTTAATACTAATAAGCAGCCTAAAATAATTTAATCTGCTGAATGTAAATTTATTATGTCATGTGTTGATAAGACTGATACAACTTACTAATGCTGTTAATATATATTTTCCAAAGATTCAAGATTTATCAGGTATGAATAAATTTTGATAATTGATAATTTTGAAAATATTGATAATTTGATTACCAAGGAATTTAATAAATTAGTACTAAAAAATGTAAGCAATTTTAAATCTAAGGTCCAGTACCAATTTTTTTTTTCCAGTACATTAAAGCCATGTATTAGCAATAGTAACAAGTAACAGTAGCAGTATTTTATTTTGGAAATTAATATTTTTTTGATAAAACACAATAAAACAAATACCTACCTTTTTAGAAACTTGTAGAAAATTGATGGGAAGTAGAAATATTTTATTTGCACTTTTGAACAATAAATCCATCTTATTTCAATACTTACATATTTAAAAAAAATAAATAAATCTTAATATTTGTATTTTCTGTAGATTTCTGGAATCAATTATTCTTTTATGTGTAGAACTAGAAGCAGGATAGATCACAATTCTTGAAAAGATAACATTAATTGTACATAAATAATAGTAAGTCAATAAAAAAGTCTTATATATTCAATGTACACTGTATTTTATTGCAATAATTTTCAAACATATTTGTTACACTATTTTGAACAATACTATTAAGAATATTGTTACAAAATAAAAATTTATATTACAAAATTAATAGTTCTCAATTTGTTTTATCTATAATAATATTTTATCTAATAAATAAATATATTTAAATATTAATACAGTGATCACAAGATAAGTTTTTAGAAAAAAGTCAAACTTAACAAATTTATTTATAAAGGCATGTGTTCGTATAACATTCTCTATTTTCAAAATTTAGCAGTAAAAAAAAAAAAAAAAAAGATATTAAGAAAACAATTGAGGAATGTGAGCAAAATAATAAAAAAAAAAAGACAATTGTTCGTGTATATGTGTATCTAATAACTGACGAAAATCCCTACATTCAAGAAAACAAAAATAGCCTACCGAAATTCCATTAAATAATTACTTGCGTTACAACAAAATTTAACTACAAATAAAACACAAAAAGTAAACAAATATTATTTTCACTTAATTTTAAGTCGAAATACACTTTTACATTTTTATTTTACTTTTATAATATATTATATTAAAGGGAAGAGGATTTTTTAGGACACTATTTTTTAATCAATACTCAATTTGCATAAAGATTTGGATTAAAAAAAATTATAGATTTTCATAGATTAGTTATTTAGTCATTTATTTTAGAAAATTTGACTAGTTACTCTGCTGCCCAAGGCTATTTTTTCTTTTACATGGCTTACATAAAAATTGAGTGTAGTATGGTTAGTTCAATCACCCGGTTTATAAATATAGGTATTTCATTATTTTTGTTATTACCTTATAAATATATATTATAAGGCAATAAAAAAAAAAAAAAATACAAAACATAAACTTAATTTTAATAGTTAAATTGGACAAACGTATGTCTTCTTATAATAGTGGCAGTAACTGTGTGTATAACAATAAATACAAACAGGTTGTGAAATAATAATTTTGTATCTTGCAATTATTTATCCAAGAAATTTTTTTTTTTTATCATTATATAACTGATACATAAATAATATAAAGTATTTATAAGAAAAAATAATAACAAATACAATGATTATTTATCTGTCAGAGTATGTCGCATAAAAAAATCCATCATAATGTCTCTCATGCCTTAAAAACTATTTTCGGTATTTAGACTAGGTAGATTTATTAATAATTATAATTTATACAATACGATACACAGAATATCAACAATTCCCGGCAATGAATGTTTACACAGTCAGATATTAAGAAGTAATATTATGAAGGCAAAATTAATTAGATTGAATAATGATTTAACGTACATTTTTCTAATTAACAATGCGTATTATTAGCATAATAATTTTTACTTAAAAAGTTATAAATCGAGCAAATAAAACAAAAAACAATGTTATTATTTTTAATAATTTGATATATTTCAATTAATATAATGAAAACACACACACACACGCACCATTTAAATTTATTATTTTTATTAATTAATTAATTATAATTATTTATTTTCTTTATTACCTATTAAATAAAAAATCAAATTAAATAAAATAAGAAAACTGATAAATTAAATAAAAACTATCTTCGAAAGCCTAAAATTAAATACAGTACCTACATAGTTAGGTATATTCCCAGAGTTCTTCAGTCTTATCTGCATTCATTGACATCTGGTCATAAATAATATGGAGATTTTTTTTGTTTTTTTCATTAAAATATTTACCTATTTTAGTGATATTTTATTTTAATTAAATTAATAGCTAAAAATTGGTTATTATTATTATTATGTTTTCGATTCATATTTTAATTAAATATATGACATTTTAAATTACCCAACTAGTAATTCCACACAACATTTTTTTCCTACATCTACACTTAATCTCATAAAAATAACACCAATTCCCAAATCCGTGATAAATATCCTCTCAGCCATTTCCTAATTAGTTCACACAACTCCACACATCGTTTTATAACAGTAATTTATTTATTTTGGGTCTATGCTTATAGTAATTCCCAGAACTTCTTTACATGATAGTATACAGTTAAAATATTTTATACTTCTATTACTATATATTTCCCTCATTTCTCTAAAAATATGTTCATCCACACCAGTTTGTTTTTTTACTATAACATATTATCACCAAAAATGGTTTAATAAAGTATTTAAATATTAAAAGAAAATATAATTATTATTATGTTATAAGAAAATTGATTACTAATAACTTCTTTAAATATAACAATACAAATTGATTATTTCATTAATTTAAAATTTAAAGCGTAAAAAGGCCAAATTTATAATTACGTTTCAGTTCCAATTGGTTTATATTGGTAACATATTAACTAAAAATTAAGATACATTAGATATATTTTAATAGTATTTCAAATTTTTTATTAGAGTTAAAATATCATTTAAAAAATTACCCCCGGATTAAATTCTCCTAAATTGTTAAACTTTTGATGCCAAATGTATTAATATACATACTAATAACACTATTTTATATATTTACCTAAATATTTATATTTATTTAATTCAAATAAAAAGAACAACATAGTAAAATTATACGTTAAAAAATATACAGAACTTTTTTGTTTATACTGAAATAAATAACTTTACTAGTGAATAAAAAATAATATGAATTGAATTAAAATATTATTTATTTTACAACAAAAACTATAAACAAATTTATAATTACCCATCCAGTGAAGAAACAGAGTTTTCAGACTGATGGCAATTCTTAGAATTATAGATGTCAATAGGTTGATCCGACAATACTAGATCTGCTAATTCATCTTGAAGAACATTTAACAATGCGTCAGTGGGCAATTTACTATTATTTTGATCTGATCGCAGTGGTATTGTATGGACACCTGGCCTAATAGTTGTATAACAATCTACTTCATCAATTCCTTCATTATTGGACATATTTAGTTGAACTGGCATTGCACTACGCTTCTTATTCTTTTTCCAATTTAGTCCACCAATAATTTTCATAAGTGGAAAACTATTACTTGCTGCTTCCCATACATTTACATAATTCCTTTTACTCGATTCTTCCAACACTGGACTCACACTACAAAGAACATAAATGAAAATAGTATATGGCAAAAAATAAATCAATTAAGTAACTTAAATAATATGATATATTATCATTTTTATTTAATAGACACATTTATATTATGAGCATTTAACTGTTAACAGTAGGACAAAAAAAAAACTAATAAATAACATAGATATTAAAAAAAAAAAAAGAACCGATACTGATGATGGGAGCTGTTGTAAGTGAAAATGCCCGCAATATATCAATCATAGGAGTGACCAATCAATATCATTAATAGTAATATCTATGCAATAATCATTCTGATTTTTATATTTTTTTTTTTTCTTGTATGGGTATACTGATTTTAATAATTTATTTATTTTAATCAGTTTTTATTAAAGGACATATTATTACTTCAGGTAATACAATTAATATGAGATATGTTATCGCTCATGTAAATAATAAATTTTTTTATCAATATCAGTTTTTACAAAGTTCAAAAAAGAATTCTTTCAAGTTTTCGGTTCTCATAGTATATTTATCGTATATATTTATATTTCTTGGTGAAATATCAATGAAATGTCTAGAAATCTAAATTCAGATTGTGATCATTTTTTAAATTGAAAATAAATATACATGAATTATAAATTATCACAGAAAACAATGTGTAAATATACGAAGAACATTTTTGATTTTAAATTAAATGATTTTTGTGGTATGGGAGATACCATTGTAAAGAAAAACAATAGATTCTGAATAAGCACAAATTAACAGTGTAATTTTATTTAGAATACTTATTGACTTTAGTATCTGAAATGATGGTTTATGGGATACCGGGGATAAATATTACTGTTTGCATAAGTAGATAAATACATTTAAATAAACTATCTTTTTGTCAAGACCACTAAAAGTCTGGGTAAGAAAGATGTCAAATAATACTGGATTAGTTGTAGTAAAATATCATCATTTAAAACTTGGTTTTAGCACTATGGATTATAATTTTACAATTATATTCTTATGTGAATTTTAATATATAATTAAATTAATAAAATTTGCTTAAATATACTAATTATTTGTATTTATTGTTTTTATTATGTTGTTACTAACTATGAAAATACTGTTTTTGTTTTAACATACTTTTCATTAGGAAACAATCCTTGGACAGGTTTCATTAACGTATAATTATCAAATACTTCAACCCCAGGCACCTCAGAAACCCTTTCTAATGTAGGTGACAAATATGTATGTGATGACGGAGGTGATCTAGAAATACCATGTACAGCTCCAGATAATGTTCTTTTATTATCCACAGAAGTTGCTATAGATGCTATAGACTTTGGAGGGGAACGACCAGATGATCTGTGTGTACATGAATCAGGAGAAGGGCAGAGTTTAGGTGATGAATCTGCTGGCGCTTGAGCAGATAATGAGCGATAAGTTGCTTTATAATTACGTCGTAACTTTGAATTACAACTGAAATTTATTTCCATGTGATTGCCACTATCGCTTTGCTCAGACACACTAGTTGAATCACCAGATTGATTATCATTATGATTTAATCCAGAAGGGGGTAATTGACCTCGGCTGCCAACTGAAAATGCACGTGTTCTAGCTCGATCAGCATTTATTCTAAAAGATATTACATGGTATTTTTCAACTCAAATATATTAGCTTATAAATATATTTCACATTATATAAACGATAAGTACTTGTCAATTTTTTCTCTTAAACCATCTTTAGAACCAACAGAATAGGCTCTAGTAGCCCTAATAGGTTCTTCATCCTCAAGTGGAGCTAGCATTGAACAAACTCTATCTAAATGTATAGAGGAAAAGCGTGTATCTGTAGAAGGTGTTCCAGATTTAATAGATTCTTGTTTTGTACATTCCATTGGCACATATTCGGAGGATATTTTATTCACTGGAGCCATAGGAACATAACCTTCGACTAATTCCACTTGTGTCTTAGGAAGTGTATCTATTTAATAATATTAATTGTAAAAATTAAAAAACTATTTATGAAAAAGAAATATTTAACACACATTTTGTGGACGTAAGTTTAAATAGTTACCAAATTGTATATAATTTGAATAAAAATAAGTGTAAATGTAATACTTACTCAACAATACCTAACCAAAATAGTGAATAATTTCTAACAAATATATAAAACAATTATAGAAATAATTGAACATATTAATTACCTTGTTTAGAACTATTTTGTCCTTCCATCAAGGTGTAGTTATTATAATGTGTGCATTTTGATCCTGGTTTCATTGGTAAATACCCATCGGTTGGTGGAGATGTTCCAGCTATACCTAATGTAGACAGTTAATAAATTTTCGAAAATAGTTATGATTAGAAAAAGGTGAATACTTACTAGGGTCTAGCAAAGTATACGGGTGTTCATCCCCATTGGTTGGTGAACCATATGGACTATTTGAGTCACAACAGGAACCTGCCTATTAAATAAAAATATGAATAATGAAAAATTATGAAACTTTATGGATCTATTTGATCTATATTTTTAATAAAAATAAGATGGTCTAATTATCTACTATTTGCATACTTTGTTCTTATAAGATGATAATAATATTAATAATTATTATGTGATTTGGTTACAAATTATAAAAGCAAAAACATTAAAGAAAAATAAAACTAACCTGTGAAGAAGAACTTGATCTATTACCACCAAAATTGTTGTTAATTAGGTTAATATTGTTATTAACATTACTGTCAGTGGTTTGTCTCAACAAATCTTCTTCTGAGGAAAAAAATATATAAGTAGGTCATCATTTAATATAAAACTACTCTATATACTTAATATATTATATGAAAAAAAATACCTTTATCTAATGGTCTACAAGAAACAAAATCTTCATGATTTTCCTCCAGTATTGCAGTTTGTTGATTGTTAAAATTTGTGTAACAAGAAGAATTTCCATCAGTAGTATCAGTCAACTTTGAAAGTGATGTGTCCCAGGTACTCAACCCAGAGTCACTAAACCTAAAATTAGCACATTTTTGTTTTAATAATTTTATAATATAATGTATACAAATAACCTACCCTGATATTGATGATGAAGCAGAAACACAATTACAACGTCTATGAAAAGACTGCCTTGGAGATAAAATTCCATTATAAGAATGTGTTGAATAATTTTCACTAATAGCACGTGGTCGCAATGGCATACTGTCACAACGTTCTCTGACTGATCCTGAAAAAAAGAAATAAAATAATCTCAGCTTTTTTAGTAAAATTGCATTATTTATAATATAATATATTATATATTTAATGCAACAATTTATATAACGGAACTTGATAAAAATTTCAAAGTACCCAACTTCACAAGGTATTGTGTTTGCAATGATAAATCATTGCAAACAAATATGAATAAAAGTATTATACATTTCTTATTTTCTCAATATGTTTAAATTGGTTTTATACATTTTAAAAAGCTACAAATTGGAAATTGTTTAATTATTTGTATTATTTATATTATTATAATAATTTAACTTAAATGTATGACACTAAATAATTTTAAAATATCTAATACTTTGCAAAGATAGAAGAGAATTGTATTTTGGTAGATAGTTGGGTGGTGTTTAGTTATATTAAATTTAGAAAATAATTATTTCACATTAAATTAACTAAGATTATATAATTTCTACCAACAAAAAAACAACTACAAATTCACAAATTAATTGTTTAAATTACAACTCTATACTACTACATTACTTTGCAATACTATATTTTGGGCGCATTCAATTATTATAAAAATGTTGTATATTATAAAGATCTGTGTAATAAATATGAATTAATATGCACATGAAATCAAAGCCCATGTACAGAAGAATGGAAAATTAGTATGTGCATATACATAATAACATGAATTCGCTATCTGTGTTATTCACATATATTATTTTAAGCAATAACTAAATATATTACAATTTTAATTTATTATATTTTTTAACAATATTATCATCAAGTTAATACTAAAACACTAAAATAGATATATATTAAATATTTACAGGTTAATATTGATAACACACATACATACATTTTTCAAGTAGTTTTATTAAAAACTTAATACTGAATATTCGAATGCTAATTACATTTCTTAATATCTAATAAAATAATTTTACTATATTTTGTATACAAATTTTCTAAAAACTACTTGAAAAATACTTTAATTTTAATAGGTTTTAAATATTATTTGTACCCAATTACTATTAAGCAAATGTATTATACACATTTTTTAATAAGTTTTAGAACATTTTCACTGTATTGGTGAAAACAAATATACATACTAAAACCTTGCTAGTAATAACTAAAATTATCATTTTTTGTTATAAAATAATTTCTGAATAAAAATAATTTATCATATTATACAGGGTGATTTTTTTTATTATGAACTAGCAATTATCTCCGAGGATTTTAAGAGACTTTGATTTCTGTTTTTTTTAATCATTATTGGAATCAATTAAGCTTTATTTTAAACCCTTTTTAATTTTCAAATAGGAACTCCCCCCCCTTTTGAAAACAGATTTGAATAGAGAATATTTTTCTAGACATTTTGATATGCATCATACAAATATCAGATTTACCATTTATGGTTTATATCAGTTTAAAGTTTAGACCGAAGGAGAAGAGAAGGGTTACAGATAGGCAATTTATTCCCTTCCCTACTCCTCTGGTCTAAACTTTAAACTGGTATAAATCATAAATTGTAAATCTGATATTAGTAGGATGCATATCAAAATTTCTAGAAAAATATTCTTTATTCAAATATTGTGTTCATTCAAGAGGAGGGATTCCAATTTTAAAATCAAAAGAATGCACTTAATTAAGGTATATGGGGTAGGGGTAAAAATTAAAAATGGTTTTAAAATAAAGCTTAAATGATTCCATAATGATCAGAAAAAACAGAAATCAAATTCACTTAAAATCCTCAGAGATAATTGCTGGTTCATATTAAAAATCACTCTATATACTAAGTTGTTATAAAATCACATTTAATTAAAATAATTTTGATAATCTACTCTAGTATTGAAAAACTATGCTTAATTTATTGAAAACAAAATGATTAGATTCCCATAACATAAAAAATATTTTTATATTTTCATATTCTCATCATATTACATACCAAAAATCACAATTGTCAATCAAATAATAACACTATATTAAAAGTGATGTATTATAAAAAACAAAACAAAATATTTAACAAGTTTACACAATACAAATTATTGGTGTTTATATAAGTTTAATTATTAAGTCGAAAAACTAAAAAATTTATATTGTTTAATGCTGAAATTGATCTTGTTATCTTCGTAAAAAAATTACCAATTTTAAGCAAGAATAGTAAAAATTCAAAATAAATTTCCAATTGTAATACTTAGAATAGATTGTGTACACAATCTACAGCAACTTAAAAATCCATTAGCACAAATACAGATTTGTCAATAACATTAGGTATTACTAGAACTGGTTCTCAATAATGGTAATAGATTACTATACATTATACATATATTATCATTTATAGAACCTGCAACTAATAGATCTGATTATCTATCTATAAAAGTTACAGATAAATATTAACAATGTTAATTATCTCAGGTATTAAATTTCAGACTTTAAACAAACTGAAATACAAAATAAAATGTAAAGGTGTACTCAATGGTGGAAAAAAAATTGGCGCACTGAATTTTTTGGTGAGAAGGAGTCTATTATCAATCGTTAAATTCAAATATTTATGATTTAATTTATTTGTTAACCATGGTGAACATTAAATAGCAATTCACTAATTCTTTTAAGTATTTAGCAAATATTATAGAACCATTTTAATTTTACAGCACCTTTTTATGAAATAGGAATCTACAATATATTCAGACTGGTTTTCAAGCACTAATGGTAGTGAAACAAAATATTATTCCTATTTTCATACTAGATTATATTTTCATTCAGTACTATAGACAATGCTGGCACAAGGGGAGGACAAATGGGACATAAGTCTAGAGCCCAACACTTGTTTTGGTTTTGATGGGCCCACGATATATTATTATATAGGTTAGCTTAGTACACACCAATACTAATACAGTTATACTACAGCATTGTCCAGGGCTCAACAAATCTAACATGTCTATAGATAAAGACATTTTAAATATTTATGCTATACGAAAAAATATGTAATTATAAAAATTTACTTTTTAATAAATAAAACATATAGTAGGAATAGATTTTATTTTCATAATTTACAAAAAAATTCAAAGTTTTCAATTTACAATACTATTATAACATGTTATACACTACATTGAAGGTACTATATCAGGCATTTCCTACTCAAAGTATAAATTGGGCTAAAGAATCTAAAAATAAGTCTGGAAGAAGGAAGAACCCCATAAATCTTTTGGTGAGCAAAAAAAACCTCACCCCTTTTATTTTTCTCTCAAAAATCATTTAGACACACAAAACATAATATTAATACCACAATTCATATTTTTCAATAAGGCGGGGGTCGTATACAAATAAGTCAGTAGACTGAAGTTGAATATGTCAATACTACATGGTATTATAATGTTATTTGTACATTCTAATAGTCTCAATGCAAGTAAATTAAGATATTAATATCTTAATTAATTTACCTGTGCGTGATAAATCAAAATTGCCATTATTTAATGTTGAGAAACTTTGACTATTATTTTTATACTGAAGGCCAGGATTATTTTCATCTAAAATGTTATTTTAGAGTAAAATTATATTATATAAACTTTATTTAATAATTTTTGTAAAAACATACCGTAAAAACTAGAACGTTGTTTAGACGAACAGTTCATAAGACGTGATCCTTCATTAAATGATGATGACCTCGCTCTGACTTTCGGCTGGTCGTGATTTGTTGAACTTTGACTTGTTGCACCCATTAAAATTCCATGAATACTTTTTGCTATTTGAGAACTCAATGCATCCAGCCATAATTGACCAGGACCGAAGGGAGAACTTTGTCCTACTTCCATATAAAAAACTGTTCCCAAAGCTCCAGAACGTCGAATACTCGACAACTAAATAAAATCATTTTTTTTCTTTTTATTAACCTACAGAAATAAAGTAAGGACTACTAGGCAAAAACACAAATAAATACTAACGTTTATATCGATAGTTGTTTGTAATTTTGATCTAGTTGGATACTTCATTATAGACATTGTTTTGTCACACAAACAAAGTCCAGTCATGCCTAATAACTTTGCATTATTTCCTAACCCCTTATTCATTATAACGACATGCCATATATGTTCTGAAAAAAAGCAAACTAAATTAGATTTATCTGTAGAATAGCAAATATGCATAATATGTAGTACCAAGAGGTTCTTTAATTGAATCAATATGTCCATAATTTTTATTAACTCGTTGTAAAACTAACATTAGATCCAACCATTCATCGAGCTCAGTATCAGTATCAAATAGTATGGAAAAATTATTGTGTGAAGTGTTTATCCTTATTATAGTCTTTTTAGTGCGTGAATCTACACGCTTAGTGATATTGAAGCAGGCCTTTAACACAATTACTCTGTAACAGAAATTTTTAGTAAATCAATTTATAATTCATATTATATAATTAAGCAGTAGGGTACTTGTTAGGTGATCCATTGTTTCTCCATTTTTTTTCAGTATCATAATATTCAAGACACGCAGGTCCACCAAAAGCTGTTAGTTCTCGAAGAACAAAAAACTTTTTTTTTGTACTTTTATTTTTTTTTAAATAACCAATTTTAACAACACCGACCATAGCATTTTTAGGTCTGGAGTTATACCATCGAATATTCAACCCACTCATTTTGAATATTTTCTGGAAAATAAAAATAAATATTCAACTTTATTAATACTGTATACAGATAAATTATATTATAAAATAATTTACCTTTAAACACATCATAAATTAATTAGGTATTAGGTATTTTAGTAGATAATTAATAAAACAAAAAACTGCCAAGTTAAACACAATTATTACTATAAGTGGGTTTAATGAAAATGTCCAAGTTGAATGAAAATTAACCAACTGGGGAACTGATTGTTTGTTAACCAATAAAAATAAAAATGGGTATTTTGGGATAATATTGCATTCTTATCATACCTGCTTAAATTGAACAATAAAATGTTAGCGGTGGGTATTTCCAATAGTATTTCTTTAGATTATAACATTATAATATACTTATCATCATATTGTATAATATTATGATCTAAGGACTGAACAATAATTATTTTTCAAGTTACAATATTAATATTATTACCATTATTTTACTTTATATAAATTATCAAGACTTAATATGTATAATCTTATATTATGTGAAAGTCGGGATTAAGGAATAATTTTACCCAATAAAAGTAATTCTATATTATAATTTCATTTAATATCTATAAAACATCAAAACAAATCTTTAAAAATGTATGAGGATATTTTAATTGAAATATTTCAAAAAGAAACAAGTCTAAATAACATAGCTAAAGAATATAAGATAATAATAAATTAAATTATTTCAGTCTTTAAAACTCTATTATAGACATAATTTTAATTTGTAAATTTTCACCAATAGATATGTTGACTTAATAGTTAAATCCTAAAAGAAAATGTTTGCAAACATCTACAATTGTATAGGTAGGTAGGTACTTATATAAAAAAAAAATGGGAAAATTCTTTCTAAAACATTAGAAGGTACTCATTTCAGTAACTCATTGGACTAAAATATTGAGTTTGAATAACATTTGAGATAGTAGTAATAAATAGTTTTCAAAATTCAAAATTATGCATTTGCTAGTTTTTGCCTAGTAGATAAGTATAGATAAATTATTTTGTCAAAATACAAAATTTTACCCAACTCAAAGTTAAACAAAAATAATGATAATAATACTTCAAAATGAAGAACAACCTTTATCAGTTACTTGATAAGAATTAAGAATAGAAAGGTATGTTTTTTTTAAATATTTCTAAATAAAAAACATACCTACCTACCTACCTAATTAAATCAAAATTTCAAGGCAAGGTTAAAAATATACACAATACACAAGTAAACAGCAATAGACAAAATTTAAATTAATATACCTAACATTTTTATGTTTATATAAGAGGTTCTAATATCATATTACAATAATTGTTAATATTTTTCTATTGACCGTATACCTAGTAAAAAATGATAAGACAAAAGATATGTTCATTTTAATTTACTCTATAAATGCAGCTTTAGAGGTCAACATTGTCAAATTAATATGTAATTCATGTTAGTACAATATATATATATATATTAATTGGATCAAAAATACCTAGGTGACTGTTTCATATTAACAAAAAGAAAAAAACAAACAAACTGTACAATTGTCCTAAATAGAAAAATTAAATGCCATTAGATACAAATAACTTGTGCAAACATAAAAAAACCAATTGACTAGAAACATTGTACGATATACTCATAGTGCAAGTCGTGCACTTGTCTATTTTTAATTGTATAGAATACAATTGCTGTATAATTGTCGACATCATGAATATCAACATAGGTTAGGTAGGTAATTACCTATAAATTCACACAGCATCACCAGACTGATACATAAATTAGATGTTCGAAAATTTAACAACAATAACAATTCCTCAATGAAATGTTATTGGTGTATGATCAGAGACAATTTTATTTCCACCCAAACCTAGGTACCTTAAGAGATTAGATTGCACCAGTGTACATAACACAAATACAATAACAAGCCATTAGTAATCTATACAAATTAAAAACTAATAATAACAATAAAAATATTAGGCAAGCAACATAAATTATATAAAAATACGCCTATACCTAGGACCCAATACTATGTTGTCCTACCTATGTAGGTATGTTAGGTAGCCATTCAAGAACGGGCAGTTATGTCAAGGGCATGGACTGTTTATGTTGTTATCCATCGGCTCGTACGTTTTTATTTCCCCTCTATACACCTGCCTGCCGTCACTCGCAATAAAAAAATAATACGCAGAAGCGAATACGAGTAGAGTAAAACATACCTAGGTACTGAACGAGTCGGCTGCAAAACGGTCCTTTGATATTCACGGCATATTCGTTACAGAGATTGCACGCACAAACCTGGTAGGTGTACTTAAAACGCGAATAACGAACAAAATGTACTTGTGCACGAAATTCGTCTTCGGCGACTATATTAATAAATATATGTATATATATTACACGGCTACTTTTATAAAAAACATATATGTATATGCATATAATTGTGTCTATAGGTACTTATTATTGCGTTGCGTAAAAAAAAAAAAAAAAAAACCGTAAATATTATAATATTGTACTACGCGACGTACCGTATGTATTTTCACGGACGACGAGGGCACTTATTGAAAAAATAAAAATATAACGCGAAAAATAATAAACACCAGTGCGGTTAATTATTTAATAATAATATAATTATTAATAAACACTGCGGGCGAAACGCGGCGGCGGCACGGCGATAATACTAATTATTCGGAACATGCCGCTACGGCGACAGTAGACGGGGCACATTGGAAATCGGCGAAAACCCTTTCGGCGGCTACTGACCACTGCGGAACGGCGGCGGCGGCGACAACAACACGAACACACGGAACACTAACACTGCACGACGTGGACAACGAATAACACACCACCGACGCGGACGAGAACAACGACAACGCAGTTATTGACACTGTGTTATTCACCGTGTCGTTATTGTTAATGGAATACATTTTTCGCGGAAAAGTCATGTGGATACGTAAGCGCCACCACTGTGTGTTATTATTTTGTATGTGCGTATATGCGTGTGTCTGTGTGACGATTAATCAGCGCGTATTCCTATGGATGTAAACAAGTGGTGCGCATGCGCCTGCATCCCCGCCTTCTTGCCGCCGCCGTGCGGGTCATGTTGACCGTTGAACCGTGCAAACAACAACAACAAAAACAACATTTTTCCCATAGCGTCGTCGTATATACGTATATAATGTTATTATTATATTTTTCACTCTGTCGGGTCTTACACACGTCTTACTCTCTTTCACGTAAATTATAAAACACAATTATAAATAAAAACAAATAAAATACCAATCATTTTATTATTATCTTACGCGGCGGCCGACAATAATATCATTTTATAATATTTTTAATATAATAAAAATAATATCCAATATCATTTATATGTGGTTATTTACAATAGCATAATTTGTTGTGTATAATATTATTATAATATGTTTGTGCGTATGACACACTAGTGTTTTTGTTTAATTTTTTTTTTTTTTTACTTCTCGGATATTATTGTGTTTAGCGCCCCCCTCCAAAAATCCAACAACCTTTACCACGGGTGCGCACGCGCTCAGCATGTAATAACAATAATAATAACAATAACAATAATAAAAGTCCGATGGTATCAAATTATTATTGTTATTAGATAGATTTCCGTTCCCCCCTCTCCCCATAGTGCCGACACGCGCTATTTGACCAACGCACTACCTCCCCCCCCACATACATAAACGGATATGTATATATATAAATACACATAAATATTTTTCTGACGATAATGTTATTATCCAACGAGGACGCACGACACACGTGTATTATTATTATTGTTATTATTATTATTATTATTATTATTATTATTAAAGTACGTACTATTGGGTTGCACCAAATTACGTGTGTATAATATAATAATAATATTACTACAACGGTGCGTATAGAGTGAACCACGCAAATGACGGGTGGGTGGTAAACGTCGCCGTCGTAAGGTACACAAACACGCACGTAAATACGCGTCGGCGGTGCCGCCGATAGGGTAGAATTCCACGTTGGAATCACGTTGCGTTGTTTTGACGCCCTCGTAAAATCGATAACGCAGACTTTACGTGTAAAACTAGGTTGGCACATCGCGGTGGGCCAGACGCTCCATTCAACGTGCGTGCTGCACGATAGCGGGGTGGGCGGCTCTCGCCGCAGCGCCGTGTTATCCTCGCGCGCGCGCGAAGGCTCTACGCCCGTCTCACTGTACCCCCAGTAGGTTGCGCGGGGGGACCACGACGGAACAATCGATTTTTTTTTTCGTCCTCTGTCCCGCCTCGTCGCCCCCACCCCTCCCCCTCGCAACCGATAAGGCGACCGTCACACGCGGCCGTGCGTCGTCTGTACGTACGCGCACGCACGTGTACGCGCTTATACGCCCATGTTTGCGATTTTAAAAGGGTCTCGTACCCGTCCCTCCACACCTCGTCCCGTATGTCTACCGGCCTATTTTACGCATGTACACATTTATGTATATACATATATATATATATAGGTGCTCCGCTCTCCGCAATCCTCCCGTCAGAAAACCTACTATGCAGTTTACAAACATTCTCGTAAACGTGTAAATTTCTAAAACGTATACTTACGTTATATTATTCATTATTATTATTGTTATTATTACGTTATATCCACAACGTCTCGTCTGCCGCGGCCGAAACCGCTTTCGCGGTATCGTCATCATTGCAGACCGGCGGCGGCCCGGTATCGTCGTGGTCATCGGAATATTATTATTATTTTATTATCATAATACTATCGTAAATATGGTAACGAAATTGTTGTTGTTGTAAAATTAATATGATAATAATAATAAGAAATGAAAAAAAAAAAAAAAACAATTATTTATATCGCTATACGCCTATGAAAATAATATTACTCGACGGTGACTCAGAAATAATACCGTATTTTGTACGACACAATAATATTATTTATACGCCTGTCCGAATTTCGTTTTCGTGTTACTACGATACTAGCAGCAGGTATACAACGAGGTCGTTGAAATTTCGAATTACAAAAACGTCAGGGATGATGATTGTTATTATTATTGTTATTACACGAGATAACACACAGATATACTATTATTACGAATAATCCCTCGTTGCAATTG